TAAGCAAAAAGAAAAAAGCCGGAAGTGGCGCTGTGGCTCAACTGGTAGAGCACTAGCCTTGAGCTGAAGAGCTGAGGGACAGCGCCCAGGCCCAGTGTTCAGGCCCCACGACCAGACCCCCCCCAAAAAAAGAAATGTCTCCATAAATGTATGTCTTAAGCCACACTTCCAGATAATGGAAACATTATCTCACAGACTTTTCTGCCAAGGCTGGCTTTGAACTGTGATTCCTCTGAATCTCACCTTTGTGAGTATCTTGGATCACAGGCCTGAGCCACTGGTGCCCAGCTTCAGGCAGTGTTACACACACAAAAAAGTAGCTATATAATGTGATACTTTAATTTGCTTGAGAGTAGTAATCATTTAACTCTGTATATACATATCAAAACATGATGATGTAGCTGGGTACATAACTGCAATTCCAATTACTCATCAGATGGAGGTGGGAGGATCGTAGTTCAAGGCCAACCCTAGGCTAAAAGTTGTTGAGACCTCCATCTCAATAAAAAAACCTAAGCATGCTAGAACAGGTCTATAATTCCAACTATATGGGATATATAGATAGGAAGATTGTGGTGTGAGGCCAGCCCTGAACAAAAAATAGGAGACCTTATCTAAAAAAATGAAAGCATAAAAAGGTCTGGGAACATGGCTCAAGTATTAGACCACATGCCTATCAAACATGAGGTCCTCCTGAGTTTAAATCCAAGCACCACAAACCAACCAAAACAACAACAACAACTCAATAACCACAATAACAAAACTACAAACTCATTAATGCATAAAATAAAAATAGTCCATAAACTTAAGTACCTTTCTTGATTCTTTTCTTCCAGTCCCACACTTGAGCCATCTGAAATTTGAGTCACCTTACCTTTCAGAAGTGGGGCAGCAATGGCTTACACCTGTAACACCTGTAATCCTATCTACTCAAGAGGCTGAGATCTGAAGATCACAGTTCAAAGCCAGCCCAGGCATTAAAGACAGTGAGACTTTTATCTCCAATAAACTACCAAAAAAAGCTCCAGTGGAAGAGTGCTAGCCTTCAACAAAAAAGTCAGGGACAGTATCTAGGTCCTGAGTTCAAGCCCTAGGCCCAGCACACACAAAAATTGTACCCAGAATCTATCCACTTCTCACCACTTACACTTACCGCTGCCTAGTCCAGAACCTGTATTACTCCTGACTATTTGCACTTCTCCCATACTTATTTACCATAGTTCTGGAATATTCTCAGAGCAATTATGGTCAAATATAATTCATATATTGTCTTTTCCACATTTGTTACTCTGCAGTGCCCTCATCTTAGTCAAAACCTGATTCCTCCCAGAAGTTTGACCATAATTGCTCAGTACCTGTAATGGCTTCATCTCATAGACTCGTTCCTTTACAAAGATCTACAAGGACTTACCTGATTCTAGCCCACTTCTCTACTGTCGCTCCCTCAGGCACTTGTGACAATGACCTTATTGGTATTCAAACAGGCCTTCCAAGCTCTCACCCAGGGCCTTTTCTGTTGGGTCTCAGGACAGAGTTTTTGCCTTTTGGTGTGTCTCAGGTGCCTAAGTGCACATAGTAACATTTTCTTGGCTGGTTAAATTAATTCACTGATTCATTAAATTACTTAAATTGTTGCCTGAGTTTGGATGTTGAATGTCCCCTCCTATGTGTTGAAGGCTTGCTCCCTAGGTTAGAGTTGTTGGGAGGTCCTGGAACATTGGGGAAGTGAGTAAGGTCTAATGGTAATCTTAAGTCTTGATGGGCATGCCCTTAAGGGAATTGTAAAACTCTGATCTATTTTTTTTCCTGCTCTACCTCTTCCTCCTCCTTGTCCTCTCCCACTCTGCCTCCTTTTTTCTCTCTCTTTCTCTTTTCCTCCTTCTCCCTCTCTCTTCCTCTTTGTTTTCTGACTATGTAGCAGGCAGTTCTTTCTGCCCATTCACTCCTGTCACGATGTACACCCTCACTACAGACCCAAAGCAAAGGGCACACTCAATAATGGATTATAGCCTTGACATGCTGAAATCAGCACCACAGACAGCACTGGCTATGTTGGAATTGTCCTATACAGCCTGTGTTATTTATGTGTATTCTGTTTGTGTCAATTCTTGCAAATAGCATATGGCTATTGTCTTTTGCCAAAATGGCTTGGCAAAATGTTTTCTCTGCCTGTAACATGATGGAGTTACACAAAAACATTTTCCTTCTTTTTTGGTAATTTTGTGTTAGCATCAGTATAAAAAACAAAAAGATCAAACAAGTTATAAAAACAATTGACTGGAACTCCTGTAACTATGAGCTGAAATAAACCTTTTGTTGTCTCAGAGATGTCCTTTATTAGTAATGGAAGGCTAATATACTTGATAAAAGGTATCCATCTAGCAATATGAATCTGGATACCATCATATTAAGTGAAGTATGCCAGATTCAGAAGGACAAAAGTTAACCTATTTCTTTCATATACAGTTGTTAGATCTAAAATACAAGCATGTGCATATACACACACACATCTATATGTGTGTGTGTATGTATGTGATCAACCTAATTAAAGTTGATATATGCATGTGTGAGATATTATGGGGAAGCCCCTTTGAACAAATGCCCTTTAACTAAAATAACTTATTAGGAAGTTGGCACATGACCTGTCTAGGCTGTGGGCACTAGTGGAAGAGACTGCATGAATGGAGTGGATGAAGGAGAGTGAAAATGCTCCAAATACTTTGTGTACATGCATGAAAATGAATAACGAAGCATTTGAGATTGGTTTGGAAAGGGGGAGGGGGTGACTGATAGTGATGAAGGAGGTGACTTTAAAGCATTGTATCATAAACAGACATGTTAAAACAAAACTCCTATGTAAAACCAATTGATGCTAATAAAAATAAAATTAAAAATAGACGTAAACTGCTTTCAGTAAGAGTGATGCTAACAAGATGGCAGATTATGGCTTTCCTGTGCCTAACCTTTCATGGAAACATCAAGTTGAACAAATTTCTCCACACATGAAAATTCATAGGAAACCTGATAAGAAGTTATAGCATCTAAGAATAGCACAGTAATAAGAAAGGGAGACACTGAAGGACATCTTCACATTACTCACATCACCCTCTCCCAACATATGGCACAATGTAGAGCACTATATCCCATTCTTGGGGCAAGGATCCTGAAATGAGTATCAGACTTTACCTCACATTCCAACACTGGATCTGCTACTGTGAAACCCAGCATTGGGTTTCACTCTTTATTTCATCAATATCCTCACCCTATTGGATAGTGGCACTCACATGAAGAATGGGTCTCTCTCTCTCCCAATCCTCTCAGGAAATGCCTTCAAAGACATACTCGGAGAGGCGTATTATTGATTTTTTTGTATGTTTGTCAATGCAATCAAGGTACCACTCAACATTAACCATCATACATGGATAATTTAACTTTATCCTTTCCCATTCATATATTTTTATTTCATTTTCTTGTTTAATTGCTCTTGCTAAAACTTCTAATACTAAATTAAAAAATATTGGTATAAATGAACATCTTTGTCTTAGAAAATGCTTTCAGTATGATATTGGCTATGAGGTTTTATGTATAATCTAATTACTTTGAGACATGTTCCTTCTGTATATAACTTGTTGAGTTTTTAATCATAAAGGGACTTTAGATTTTATATACTTTTTCTGCATCTGTTGAAATGATCAGATGCTTTTCTTATTCTGTGCCATATTTATGCATATGCATATGCTAAGTCATCCTTCATGCCTGGAATGAATCCCACATGATTATGGCATATGATTTTTTACATGCTGTTGGATTTGGTCTGCTAGTATTGTACTGAGAAATCTCAAGCTATTTATATTCTTATTTTTGTCTTTTCTTTTTCTTGTCTTTTCTTTTCTTTTTTGTTGGTCATGGGGCTTGAACTCTGGGCCTGGGCGCTGTCCCTCAGCTCTTCAACTCAAGACTAACGCTCTACCACTCCAGCTACAGCGCCACTTGCGGTTTTTCTGGTGGTTTATTGGAGATAAGAATTTCACAGCCTTTCCTGCCCAGGCTGGTTTTGAACCGTAATCTTCAGATCTCAGCCTGCTGAGTAGCTAGGATTACAGGCATTGAGCCACTGGTGCCCAGCTTGTCTTTTCTTGAATGCTTTTTTTGGTGCCATTCCTGGAGTTTGAACTCAGGACTTGGGTGCTGTCCCTGAGCATTTTTGCTCAAAGCTAGTGCTCTACCACTTAAGCCACAGCTTTACTTTTGGCTTTCTCATGCTTAATTGGAGATGAGTCTCATTCATTTTCTTGCCTTGGTTAGCTTTCAATCATGATCTTCAGATCTCAGCCTCCTGAGTAGTTAGGATGATAGGTGTGAGCCACCAGTGCCCCAGCTTCAATATTTTTATGTTAAACATTGTAAACATTTAAATGGTATTTCATATAGGAAAGCTATATTTTAGAAGATATATAGAATTTTAATAATGTGTAGTGTTATATAATTACTATCAAAATCAGGGTACAGAACCGTGCCATTAACCTCCCCATAACTTGTAGTTTTGTCCTTTTGAGTATGCTATATAAGTGGAATCATTCTATATCTAACCTTGCAAAATGTGCTTCTTTTACTCAGTATGATGCCTTTGAGATTGTCTACTTGTAGTATGTATAAATGTCTCATGTATTCTTATTCGATATATGGTTTGGATTCAGCTCAGTTTGTTAATTTATTCATCAGGTACAAGGTATTTGGAATGCTTCTAGTTTAGTGAAGTTATAAATTAAGCTACTATAAGCACTGTGTACAGCGTTTTGAGTGACTATATCCTTTCATTTTTAAATGATAAGATTTCTCCACAGCAGTACCATTGACATTTTGAGCTAGATAATTCATTTTTGTCAAGGTTGTTTTATTTATTAATGTTTTGTAGCCTCTTTGGCAATCTACCCACAAGATGGCAGCAGCACTCCTTTTTCTAGCCAACAGCCAAAAGTATAGTCAGGCATCTCCAAATGTCTCTAAGGGATAAAATCACCTCCAATTGAGAACCATTGTCAAAGGGTTGAAAATGGAAGAGGACTGTGGACCCCAGATGAAAACTGTTTCTCTAATCAATAACGTGATTGCAGCTTTGTGGGACCTGCGGAAGTGACCTAGTAGACTCCTTGCTAATAAAAACTATGAGATGATAAACGACTATTCTTTTAAAATACTGTGCTTGCGATAATTTGTAGCATAACAATACAAAATTAGTACAATTAAATAATCTTGGATACACATGCACACACACGCTATATACATATATATGTCAGTCAAGTATTAACAAAACAGTTCTAGCCTCTGGCCAGATCTATCTCCTAGTTTCTAATTTCATTCTATCAGTGAAGTTAAGGCCCAGTCTTAAGCAGTCCTCATGAATCATATGATATATCCTACTCCTCACTCCCATCCTAAGGTGAATTTTTTTGCATTTTAAGATCACAGAGAATTTACTTTCTTATTTTATAGTATACTTTACACTTAAAATCATCTGACGGGCTGGGAAGGTGGCTCAGTGGTAGAGTGTTTGCCTTGCATGCATGAGGCCCTGGGTTCGATTCCTCAGCATCACATAAGCAAAAAAGAAAAAAGCCGGAAGTGGCACTGTGGCTCAAGTGGTGTAGAGTACTAGCCTTGATCTGAAGAGCTGAGGGATAGCGCCCAGGCCCAGAGTTCAGGCCCCATGACCGGACCCCCCCCCCAAAATAATCTGAAATATTTGAAACTATCTTCTTTGTGTATTTGAATTTGGAGGAGGAAGTTTATGTACATCTTATTTGACATGTAGCTCTAGATTTCCCAAAGCACTGTAAAATTAGTAAAAATGCTTAATCTGTAAGAAATCAATCAACTGAATAGATTATATTAAGTACAATAATATTCTGTAAAATGTTTTACCTTGGAGGAGCCAGCGTCTGTTCTAGAAACTCTTCAATTTTAATGAAATCTGTTTTCAGCTCCTTATTATATATCAGGAAGGGAGGGTTGGTACCTGGAGCTAAGTCTTTCAGCTCTTCAGGCTTCCTGTGATTATTGAAAATAAGCAGAGTTAGGTCTGTAGATAATGTACATATTATACAAACACCAACATTATATGTGTGTCTGCCAATCTCAACCCCCAAGATTTAATGTGTCTCCATTTCTCTTACCTGGTCATGTCAACAGTAGTCACACTAAATTTAACTCCTTTAAGCCAGAGAATCATAAAAAGGCGTTGACAGAATGGACAGTTTCCGATACTCTCCCCATCACTCCCAGCCTATGAAGATAAAGAATTACCTTGCTTCACTCATTTATTTGTTCAAGAAGCATGTATTGAGTGCCCATGAGTAAATAGACTAGTTGTTAGGAAAAAAGGTTGAAAGTACTTAATCTCAAGGATTCTGCCATCTATAGGCAGAGCTAACAAATAAAATAAGCTCAAAAGTCATAACTAATACATAGCAATAAATTATATATAGAATTTATATAATAATTTTCCTATCGATGGAAACTTAGTATATTTCCAAATATTTTACTACTCTACTCCAACAACAATTTCCTGGCATATAAATTGTTCTGAGATTATACTTTATAGTTAAACTTTAAGACCAGAGTCTGAAGTAAAAAATCTGTATATTTGCTGTGTAACAGATCGTGCCATATTGCTTTCTGAAAAGTATCTGTTCATATATCTAATGACCATTTGATTTCTTTAGTTCTTAAACTGTGACAATTCTCCATTTTTCTGTTAAAGTGATGACTTTTTTCATTGTTAATTTGGAAGATTATCTGTATAATCTGCCTTAGATGTTGTTTGTGATACATGTTATATGTAATTTTACATGTGTGAGCCAGTTCTGAGGCTTGAACTCAAGGCCGTGGCATTGCCCCTGAACTTTTTTGCTCAAAGGTATTATTCTACTTCTTGAGCTGCAACTCTACTTCTGGCTTTTTGGTGGTTAATTGGAGATGAGAGTCTCACGAGTTTCCTGCCTGGTCTGGTTTTGCATCAAAATCCTGGGTAGTTGGGATTACCGGTGTGAGTCACCGATGCCTGGCTACATGTAATTTCTTTTGTTTTAGTCTGAAACTGGGACTTGAATTCAATATGCTGTTACTCATTGGCTGGCACTCTACCACTTGAGCCATGCCTCCAACCCCTATATGTAATCTTAAAATTATCCTCTGTGAAGTCTGCTTTTCCTAATCTTATAAATACCAAGATTATTTTTAAGACCTTGCATTCTTATTTTATTTTACTATAAAAGTTTTCTATTATGTTTTTCTCTAGTAACTTTATGGTTTCATTTTTCATCTATTTGGAATCTGTTTCGGTGTATGAGATATATTTGGCATTTTTAGGTTTTAGTGTTGTTTTTTTGTTTTTGTTTTGTTGTTTTTTGTTTTTGTTTTGTTGGTGGTGGGGCTTGAAATATGGGCCTGAGCGCTGTCCCTGAGCTCTTCAGCTCAAGGTGAGTGCTCTACCACTTGAGCCACAGTGCCACTTCCTGTTTTTTGGTGGTTAATTGGAGATAAGAGTCTCATGGACTTTCCTGCCCAGGCTGGCTTTGAACTGAAATCCTCCAATCTAGCCTCCTGAGCAGCAAGGATTTCAGGTGAGTCACTGGCGCCCCAGCTAGTTTTTTGTTTTTGTTTTTTTAATAGTTAATAATTGTTTAACACCATCTAAAACAACCTCTCGCCCCTTGGTTGAAAACAGTAACACACTTTTCGCTTTTGAAACTTTATATATGATTTAGCCTGTAGACAAGCCTAATTAACATTTTGAAAATTACTATAGCACCAAAAACACTCTACAGATTCAATGCAATCTCTATCAAATCTCTAATGTCATTCCTCACAGAAATAGAAACATCAATTCTAAAATTTCAATGGCAGCACAAAAGATCTCAAGAAGCAAAAGTAATCCAAAATAAAAGGAACAATGTTACAGATATAACAACAGCTGAGTATAAATTATACTAGAGCCATAGTAACAATATGAACATGGTACTGACACAAAACAAGCACATAGATCAATGGAATAGAAGATCCAGTTAAAATTCCACACAGCCACAATCTCTGAGTTTTGACAAAGGTGCCTAAAACATACATTGGAGTGTTCTTTAACGCTTTTTATAGCAAATGGCATTGGTTAATCTGGATATCTGCATGTAGAAGACTGAAACTGGACCTTTATCTCTCACTTTGTACAAAGAATCAACTAAAAATGGATCAAGAGCTTAATGTAAGACCTGAAACTTTGAAGCTATTACAGAAATCATAGAGGAAACACCTGGAGATAAGGGCATAGGCAACAACTTTCTGAGTAGGATTGTAATTGCTTAGGAAATAAAAGAAAATATTGACAAATGGATTTACATTAAATCAAAATGCTTCTGTATATCCAAGAAAACAGTTACCAGAATGAAAAGACAGATTACAGAATTTAAAAAAAAAACAACTCTGTGGGCTGGGAAGGTGGCTCAATGGTAGAGTGCTTGCCTTGCATGCATGAGGCCCTTGTTCCATTCCTCAGCACTACATAAACAGAAAAGGCCAGAAGTGGTGCTGTAGCTCTAGTGGTAGAGTGCTAGCCTTGAGCTGAAGAGCTGAGGGACAGCACCCAGGCCCAGAGTTCAGGCCCCATGACCAGCAAAAACACCAAAAACATAAATACAAAAACAACTTTGCCAGCTATTCATCAGGCAAAGGATTAATATCCATTAGATATAAAAAGCTCAAATAATTACACACTCAAAGAACAAATTAATTAAAGGCCAAATGAGTTGAATAGACAGTTCTCAAAATACAACAAATGATCAATAAATACACGAAAAAATGTTAACATCCTGAAGGCATAAAAGTAATGCAAATTAAAAGTATATTGAATTGTTTGGGGATGGAGAAAAAGGGAGAAGGAAGAGTGAAAGGAAGGGAGTGAAATTGATTGGAGTGCACACACATATACACACATATATTTATACACACATATACACATAAACACATTCATATATACCATCCATATACTATGGAATATCACATAGCCATAAAAATGAAATCATACTGTTGGCAGGAAAATGGATGCAACTGGAGGACACCACCTACGCCAAGCTCAGAAACCAAAATATCATGTTTTCACTCATATGTGGAAGCTAGAACTAAAAGACATACATATTCCTAGACATATACATAAATATAAATATCCATACATATAATTACTTAGATGAGTAAACAAAGAACATGAATAAAATAATAGACTAGTAAGGAGAGAAGGAGAGGGGAGAAAAAGGGTGCATAACAGTGTAACATATTACAAGTATATATGAGGACAGCACAGAAAAACTCAACAAAAGCTGATGATCATGAGGGAGAATAGGGGAGAGAAATGGGCTCACTAAGTGAGTGGGAAGTTGTGGTAGGGGGTTGTGCTGGTGGGGAAGATAAAAGAGGTTAACTATACCCAAGTAGATTGCAACTATGATGTAAACAGAAGCAGGAAACCTGCTCGGATGCTCTTTTTGTGGAAAAGGGCAGGGAGTGTGACAGTGTGAATTTGATTGGGATGCAGTGTAAACATTTGTGGAAAATAACAGTGAAATGCCTCCTCTGTATAACACAAGCTAATAAAAGTACTTTTCCTTGACAGTGGGTGTGACTGAGAAAATTGTAATTATTGTTACTCTTTCCTGCTGTCAGAGAATTGCAGCTGCATTTCTATTGTAACAAAAGTCAGACTAAGAATCCAACTAGAACTAGGTTCTAGTGAGTGGAAATATGATTAAGGAGGGTAGGAGGTAGGAAGAAGAATGTAGTCTGATAATAGATCCAGCAGGAAGGGTGGATCCAATTTGGCAAAAGGAGAGTCAAAACACTGACGTGTTAGGGAAACACAGCAAAGTTTTACAGGAAAACTCACATTTTTTCCCCTTGTTTATGTTATGCCAAGTTAAAGCACCATCACATAGAACTCCAGGATATAAATTTCCAAGCTTAATTGAAAAATTACTTATCTTTTAAATATCTAACTGAAAAGACACAATGTGGTAATTCTGAAAACAACTTTGTTTTTGTGATCTAAGATTGTTAACTTGAAAATGATTTATTGTTTATGTTATGTTTACTTATTTATTTTCATTATATTTATTATATCTATATTATTTATTGAGTGTTTATTACTTGTCTTACAATGAAGACGATTCTGAGAGGTGGACTCTCTTACTATTTTTGCTTTACAGGTGAGAACTTGAGGGTCAGAGACTGACTTACTTAAGTACAATTGGCTAGTGAAAAGTTGATGTTAGTCATATTTTTTATACTTAGCAAATCCAGGACTGTCTCTCTCAGATCATATGCTCTTGAACATTGAATTCTCCCATCTAGCAGTTTTCTTAAATTTTAAAATGAATTGTCCATATGACAGTCCTGCATTTGAAAACAGCCTGGAGATTTAGGGAAGAGTATAATCCTTCTTTCTTAGGCACTAGACACTATTGCATTCAGAATTTTGACCCAAATGTTTGATTTCATGATTTCATAGAGTATACGACAGAGAATTCAAATATTCCATTTTACAACAAATCAATAAGGGTGCATTAAAAATAAACTTGTATTTCTAAATAGCTTTTTCCCAGTTGTGAATATAAATCTTGCCCAATCATTCAGAGATGGAAAGCAATATTTTCAGTGCCTACATGGTATATATTGGTAATATGATATAGGTGCTTAAGGTGCTTTTTGTCACAAAAAGGTAATTAATCTCTCAGTCTTTTTTGGGGATTCCATTAGCATTATGGAGAAGTTGTGGTAGGGTTTTAAAACCACAAATAGAGGTATCTGTGTCAGAAATCAAAGATTCAATTAATTTTCACCATTGATAAAGAGCAATACTTTTAAAACTTACTCTGGCATTTTCTCAACTTTTATGTTATCTCCCAGTATCTTCCATGTAATTTTCAAATATCTGCAGAATGCCATAAAGCAAGGAAAAAAAACCTGGACCATATTTAACCCAAGGTTTTTCAAACATTAAATAAGCTTGTACCTAAAGAGTTTCATGTAATGAAATTCTGGAAATTTTTTACTAAATAAGTTCACTGAGTTGAGAACAATACAGGATTGGAGTTCGACTCTTCCAATGGCTACTTATGTGATCTTCCCCAAAGTTACTTGGCTGCTGTTTGTTTTAGTTTCTGTATCTTTTAAATGATGTTAGTAATGAACTGCCTAGTATGTTGCCTGCCATATAAGTACTCAATTTAAATAGGAAGTTATTAGTTAATTCAACATTTGACCACCTAGTATGTGTTTTTCTAGCCTTTCCTCTCCAGATTACCATACAAATATGGGAAATCTATGAAGACAAACACACAGATGAGTGCCACAACTGACTTGAAAAGTCTGATTGAACTGAATGAACAGTTTCGACAAAAAGAATACTTTTGTTAACCCTTGAAGAAGCATAACCACTTGTCTGGAATTTGAAGATATAGAAAACTGGTTAGAAAATTAAATGCTCGCGTGCTGGCCACCATGAGGAAGGTCGCCAAGACGGACTGAGACCCCGTTGCCCTTCAATAAACCTCAGCTCCCCCTGAAAAATAAAGAAAATTAAATGCTCATTTATGTCCTAGTTGAGTAGTCATATGTTTTGCTATAATCCACAGATAGAAGAAATAGCTCTGATGCCCCATGGTTAAACAAACACTTATTTGGATTACTGTGCAATGCAGGAATTCAAAGAATCTCTCTCTCTCTATATATACATGTATATATATACATATAAACACATATATAAATGTGCATATATGTATATGTGTATATATCTATATATATACACACATATATAACCAATTGTTATATAAGCTAAAAATGTTGTATTACTTTTTTCAATAGCTATACTTAACACTTAATAAGCATAATATGTTATTGTAAACCATCAAGTGGTTATACAGTCTTAGACATCAGGTATTTAAACCTGAATGTTAATATACTTATCTAGAAATGATGAGGAAAATATTACTGAAATATTATAATTACTTAGAATTTTTAATAAAGTAATAATTACTACTGATGACGACATAGCACTGCTACTACGAATAGCAACCTGTCTCTTAGGTTGATGTCAGAATAAACCAGATAATATATGTCAAGTGTTTATAGAAGGGCCCTATAATAGTTTGGTTTTGTTGTTGTCATTATTGAATACTTTAATAATCAATAAATTACATGGAGAAAAACTAAAAAGTTAATGTAAGCAAGCATTTTGGGAATCTTTTTAACTTTTACTGGAATAACCCATACCATTTCTTTTCATGATGAGCTAATTTGGAAACACATGTTCCTTTCTCTTACTTTAGGGGTTTTCCAAAGTGCTTTTCTGAAAAGTTGACATATTGAATTTAAAAACTTCCAAGACAGACCCAAAAGAGGAAGTGAAGCATTCTAAAATGCCTCCTCACATAACAAGCACAGACTCCTCGCCATTTCTTCCCATAATGTTCATGTAACCCTGCTGTTCATTAAAAGAGGACTTTTGAGAGTTGTGGATTGCATGGAAATAGGGTTCTCCAATGGCATTTCTTCTCCACTCAATCAGGCTGTACAAAACCCATCTTATAAACATACATAATGTGGGAGCTGGAAAGCCTTCCGGGATCATTTTTTTCTAGGCTCATCCATTGTATACATGCAGAAACAAAGGCCTGGATGGAGGGAGGAATTTTTTCGAGGGTACATAGAAAGCCATTGAAAATATTTCGTTGTTTTGAGTACCAAACAGTCTAGTGTTCTTTCCATATCATCCTGCACTTTTCAGATGAGACCTTTTTCCTCATTGCCACAGAAGAAGAGCCAAATATCTAGCCATTTTGGGTGGGGGAGTCAGAGTAAGAAAATTACTTCAAATTCTTTCTTATCTCTAGATTAAATATTGAAGATTTTTAGAAGCTGAGGCCTACTGTCAAACATACTTAGCATGCTGTTATTATAGCTGGAAAGCTTACCTTCACAAAAAGCTCAATTTCAGGATCTGCTTGAGTCCTGGGCCTCACGCTTGCCATCTTTCTGTTTTTATTGCCAGTTGTCAGCCCCTGTTTCCCTCAGAGACCACAATACCTGTGGATTTTTCTTCCAGTTTAATCCAAAGGCTCAAGAAATGCTGCTTTGAGAGGAGAGTTTAGCTTGGAGTGGACTGAGTCAGATCTGGGGCCAGTCTCTTAAGAGATGGGATACAGAAAATTCTAGACGCTTAAGAGCAACTCTTGTATTTGTTTTCCTTCTTCCTCTTGACCTAACATTTGAATCAAGGAGGAGCTGAAGGGGTGTGTAGACTGGCTAGCCAAAAGGGTGGGGGTGTTTTCCAGAGAAGCTTCAATGCCATGAGTCAGCATAGGAGAAACACATCCACATAAAGAGACACACGCAGTGCTGGCTTCTATATATCAAGCTGACCAGATGTTCTCTAGAGCCTCCCTTTGAGTCCTGGGCTCCACGCCCAGAAAAGGGGCTTTTATTTGCTATTCCTGTAACTTGACAGCTCTTCCAGGAAAAGCAGCAGAAATGACTTGGATTTTTACCATTAAAAAGGATGTTTATCCAATGACACTGTCTAAAACAGGGTTAAAAATGATATTTCATCAAATGTCTCCACCCCTGATTCTGCTGCCCACACAGCCAAATTTCTTGCCTCGGTTGTATATTTCACTTCTTTTCTATAACCTGGAAATGTTCACTGAAATGATAGAGTCCTGGGCCTTCTTTAGTGTGTTCCTGCTACTTGTTATTTCTTAGAAGTGTGGACTGGGTCGTATTTGTCTTGGTATCTGTATCAGAATCCAAGATTGCTTCTGTATTTTTGCTGGTCAACTCTGGGAATGGCTGTAAAATATCCTGACTGATCCTTCAGTGTCTCCAGTATTTCCAGCAGCCATGTTTTCTGCCTGCCAGAGCTGGCAGCAAGAACCTCTGGACCAATAAACCTCCTTGGTGGGAAGTGACACTTCCTGCTTTGAAGCCAAACTGAACACAGAACCACCAAGTGGGTGCCACTGTGGCCCTCTTCCTACAGCCCTGTGCTCATATGGGTTGTACATGAGCCTTCCATTGTCCTGGTTGTAGGAGAAGAGGGGTGGGAAAACCCAGCCTGTGACAGTCTTGCAGGTTCCAGGCAAAGAGTGGCTGAAAAGGAAGGAGGTGTTCTGAGTGAGAGAAGTACCTGACGATTTTTCAAATGATATCAAGAGAAATTGTGCTGGACCTCTGCTGAACTAACCTAGAGGATGAGTTTAGGACTGGTTGGCAGGACCTGGTGACTGCTTTGTTAGTTGTACTTTTAGTTTACTCTTCTATTCTCTATCTATCATACTTTACTTACTTCAGACTTTCAGTGAATGCCTACTCTGTACTGTGATGTACCATGATGGAAAACCACCACTCCTACATCACTGCTGCCATTACCATGGCCATGACAGCATCAAATAATAGCCCAATGAGCTCTGGATGGTGGTCCCTAATAAATTATCAAAGGGAGGAGTTTTTTCCATTCCTGGGACTTCATATTTTCCTTGAGAACATAATTTGCAGTCTATAAAGTTGGCTTGTTTTTAGTGTATATCACAAAGGCTTTTAGTACATTCATCAAGTGGGGCAACCCTCGCAGCAATGCAACTCTAGACATTTCCATCACTTAAATGACATTTCCCTTGTCTGTTCGCAGTCCATCTTTGTTACTACCCAGCACTAGGCAACTTTAACTTGCTTTCTTTCTCCATGGGTTTATCTATCCTAGACATAGCATGCAAATGGAGTCATCTGGAGTGTGGCCTTTTCTGTCTAGATTCTTACATGTACGTTTCCAGGGGTCACTCATGTTGTAGCACGAATCGGAGCTTAAGTTGTTTCACAGCTGAATGATTTACCATTATTTGGCTAGACCACATTTTGTTTATTCCTTCATCAGTTCACTGACCTGTGGATTGTTACCTTTGTTTAGTTACTGTGAAAAAAGCTATTATGAATGTCTACATACATGTTTTTGAGTGGACCTGTGTTTTCAGTTATTTTGGGTAGATGCATACGAGTGGAATTACTATGCCATAGGGCAATTCAAAGTTTAGCTTATGGGAAATCTCGAAACTGCTTTTCCACAATAATTGCACCATGTTGCATTCCCAGCAACAGAGTATGAAGATTGCAATTTCTTCAGAATCTCACAAAACTTCTTTTTTTTCTTTTTGATTTACAATCATTATCTCATGATTATAAAATATTATCTCATGATGATTTGGTTTTGTATTTCCTTTTTTTAAAATTTTATTGTGAAAAAACTGTACAGAGGGGTTACTATTACATGGGCAAGATAATGAGTACATTTCTTATTAAGCATTGTAGCCTCCTCCTTTGTTTCCCCTTCCCATCCCTTCCAAGCCTCCCCCACACCCAATCCTCCCCCCACCCACCCCCCCACCAAAGTTGTAAAGTTGGTTTTCGACATGACAACTTGTATTTCTCATTGTTGCAACGGGTCCACCTGTGTCCTTATTTAAACGACTTGTTTTTCCCCTTCCCCTCCACAAATTATACTGACATCAGATACAGTGAAAGCAGGGGTTATACTGTGGGGGAGAGACATACAAAGCAACAAATAATCATATAAATGCGTTAAAAACAAATGCATGAAAGAAAAAAAAATTTAAATACATATCTTAGGGTTCCTTTTCCTAACATCACCTTATCTGACCTTTTCTGCTTGACTCATACATATACTAACTATTGCAAATGAGGGAAACCATGGGACCTATATTTCTTTGTGCTTGGCTTACTTCACTTAATATAATGTTTTCCAAGTCTTTCCATTTCCTAACAAATGGGGCAATGTCATTCTTTCTGATGGAAGCATAGAATTCCATTGTGTATATATTGGTTTTGTATTTCCCTAATGGCTAATGAAATATTCTTGCACGTGGTGTTGATCATTTGTATATCTAATTTGGAGAAATATGTATGCAAGTACTTTACTGATATTTAATTGCATATTTTTTGTTATTGAATTGCAAGAATTCTTCTGAATATTCTGAATGCTAGACTAAGATCAGATATATGATTTGAATGTGCTTTGGACAAGTTTGTAGTTTCAATTTTAATATTTAAAACCAAGTTACGTATTTTTCCTTTTGTGTGCATATTCTCATGGAATTTTAAACTGCATTACTGAGCTTAACTTTATAAAAACTTTCCCTTGTTTTCTTTCAAAGGTTAAATCATTTTTATGTTATATTTAAGTGTTTGATACTGAATTAATTTTTGTTTATGCTATGAAGTAATGATCTAAATTCATGTGAAAATCTAATTATTTTGTTATTCTATTGTAAATAAAATTGTTTTCTTAACTTTTTCCCATGAGTTTGTTATTGAAGCCCAGAAAATATACTACATTTTGTATGTTGATTTGTATCCTCTTACTTTGCTGAGTAGTTATCAGATCTCACAGACTTCTGGTAAAACCTTTTCTTTTTGTTTTGAGTCCAGTAGTGGGGCCTGAACTCTGGGTCTGGGTGCTGTCCCTCAGCTCTTCAGCTCAAGGCTAGCGCTTTACCACTTGAGCCACAGCGCCACTTCCGGCTTTTTTCTTTTTGCTTATGTGGTGCTGAGGAATGGAACCCAGGGCCTCATACATGCAAGGCAAATGCTCTACCACTGAGCCACCTTCCCAGACCATTCTGGTAAAATCTTTAGGGTCTTTTTGTATATATTTTTGTTGTAAAGATACTGTACACTTTAGGATCTTTTATATGTAGTGTCATATCATGTGAAAATTGGGATAATGTGAGTTCTATTTGTATCCCTTTTATTTTTTTCTCTTGCTCCATTGCTCTAAGAATTCAAGTACTACTTTGAATAAGAGTGGATACACTTGTTCATGATTTTAGAGGAAGTGTTTTTACTTTTTCCTTAATCAGCATATTTTTGTCTATAGATTTGTCATATATATATATATATATATATATATATATATATATATGCTGAGACACGACACGACACTTCTATTCCTAGTTCCTTGAGGGGTATTTATCATGAAGGGATATTATTTTGTTAGAGACCTTTTCTGTAACTATTGTGTGATTTTTGTCCTTGATTCTATTTATATGCTGCATTACCTTAACCCCTACTTTTTCTAATTTATTGGAGTATGTAATTCAAAAGAATATTTTCTAGTGATCTTTGGAATTTCATTGGTACTTGTTATAACATCCCCCTTTAAATCTCTAATTTCAATTTCTTTCTTTTGTTTAGTTTGGCTAAGAGTTTATTAGTCTTTCTTATCTTTTCAAAGAATAAACAATTTTTTTGGTTTTCCATACCTTTTCTTTTCCATTTTATTGTAGTACTGGGTTTCTCATGGCCTTGTGTTAAACATTGTACTGCTGAACTATGTCTCAAACCTTTTTGTTGTGATAATTTTATTTCAAATAGAATCTTGCTTTCTGCCCAGACCTATGTCTATACAAAAATCTACCTATTTTAGGCTTCCTTTCAAGGCTGGGATGACATACCCATATCATCATATCAAGTTCCTTCTGTTGAGATGGAGTCTTAGAGGGTTCCAGGAAGATGGTGGAGGAGAAGCTGGAACCTGAACAAGCTCTCGCATAGAAAGCAGTTTTAGAGTTCCAGTGAACAGTCCTAAGCCAGAGAATCACACCAAGTGTGCCATCACAGGACAGAGACTTAGACAAGAGAGGCGAAGCCAAGGCAAAAAGACACATCTAAGCGCTCGCCAGCAGCCGTGGCGGCGGCGGCGGCAGGGTCGCGGCGGAGAACACAGT